AAAAAGGACCCCCCATGGAGACGCGGTGCAAATACAAGGTGAAGGGCGATCTGCCAGGGCAGTCGAAGGGTCCTGGGCCTAGGAGAGGGTGGCTATCGTCTGCAGCGGAATGCCGCCGTCTCTCTTCTTCTCCTTTTGGAGTATGTGCTGGGAGAGCTTGTTCAGAAACCAGCCAACGTCCTGGAGGTCCTCGGGCCACCTCAGGTACGGCTGCGTCTGGACAAACGCTCGCAGGGACTCGTGCTTCATGAGCTGGTACTGGGGCAGGGACCCGACCACCACCACGATGAGTGCGCCGTCGAGGTCCGCCAGGCTCCTGCTCTGGGCGCAGCTGAAGGCCTCCAGGCACCACCCGTCTCTCAGGAAGTGTCTGCTCACAAGACAGACGACCTTCCTGCTGCTCCACACGGCGTCGTGGATGTTGGCGATGACGTCCTCCCCCGGCATGAAGTCTCGTTCTTCGAAGCACAGGCGGAGCCCGTTCTGGGCGCCGTACTGAGCGTCCAGCGGTGCCAGCAATGCGTTCTGGACCCATTCGAAGTCTTGGCTGCTGAAGCACAGGTAGGCGTCGTACTTGTACGTGTCGGGCTCCGGGGCCTTGGCGTGGTCCTCGAACACAAGTCCCCGGACCGCCTGGTAGCAGAGGAAGCAAGCCCCCCGGAACTTGGTGACGATGAGGACGGCCATGAGCAACAGCGTCACCGTGACGGTGAACAAGACGAAAAGGGCGAACTTGAGGGCCGTGAGTCTCTCCTCTTCGTCGCAGCCCTCCGTGGTCAGGGAGTCGAGGGACATGCCGAGCAGGGGGCTGGGGTACGAGCAGGACATGTCTGCAGGAGCCCCAAGTAGGGTGACGTTGGTGTCATTGAGCCACCTGATGAAAGGGCCAAGTTCACACTCACAGATGAACTTGTTGTGAGTGACGTCCAGGACACTGAGAGATGCGAAGACCTCGGGGTCGGGGGAGAGGAGCTGGTTCCTGGACACGTCCAGCACCTCTAAGCGAGGGGGCAAGTCGCCGGGAGAGAGAGCGGTCAGCCTGTTGCCGTTGAGGCTGAGGACCCTTAAGGCAACCAGATGGCTCAACACGCCTGGCGGGAGGAAATTCAGGTAGTTGTTGTTCAAGTAGAGGACTCGAAGGCGGGCCAGGCCCTTGAAGATGTCCCAGCAGGACCCGGTCTCCCAGGCGAGTTGTAGCATGTTTTCTCCGAGGAAAAGCTGCTCTAAGCTGAGGTTCCCGGAAAGGCCAGGAGACGGCGACGAGGCACACAAGGAAAGGCGGTTTTGATTTAAAAGGAGGACCCGGAGGTGAGGGATCTGGAAAAGGGAGTAGAGCTCATCCACCCTTTCCAGCCTGTTCTCTGACAGCTGGACGAAGTTGGCTGTGAATCTGGTGTTTGGCAACGTCGCCAGTTTGTTGCCACCCAAGAAGAGGGTAGGGATGCTTGGGATGAAGTGAATCGTTTTCAGCGCGTTATCACGCAGGTCCAGGGTCTGCAGTCTCTGCAGGGACCGGAACGTCTCGTCCTGAATGATCCCAATGTGATTCTTTTGCAGATCGATATAGGCGACGTTAGGTAGCCCATGGAAGTTGGGATTGTACAGTTCCCCCAGAAGGTTAAAGGACATATTGAGAACTTGGAGGTTGTCGAGCCCATAAAACGCCTCCTGTGCAATCGTGTTTATCTTGTTGTGGGAAACGTTCAGGACCCTCAACTCCTGGAGGGCCTCAAAGAGGCGGAAACCCAGGGAGAAGATGGAGCCATGGGAAAGGTCCAGGCGTTGCAGTGAACTTCGGGCCAGGCCCGCGAAGGTGTGCCAATCAGGATCTTTGATGTTTTGGAAGCCAAACCCAGGACCCATAATGTGATGGGCAAGAACCAAAGAGAGGATCTGGGTGCCGTTGATGGTGCTGGTGAAGTTTCTGATGATGTCCACGGTCCAGCCATTCTTAGAAACATCTAGGGTATCTAGGACCATGTTTCTGAACGGGTTCCCGCACTTCCCCCAGTCCACGGAGACCCTGAAGTATAGGTTATTGGCAGCAAGCCCTACAAAGGAGAATTCTTTCCCTTGGAGGGGCTGGAGGTCAGGCTCACATACGATGGGTATGTCGTTGAGGGAGAAGTCAATGGACTTCAAGGAATTTAATTCCTGGAACGAAGGGTGAAGGGAGAGGCTATGGATCTCATTCTTGGACAGGTCCAGGCGATTCAAAGACGGCAAGTTTCTGAAATAACCGTCTTTTAACACAGCATCGGAAAGACCACAGTAGAAGAGCCGGAGTTCAAACAGACGGGGCAGCCCTTGAAAGGCATCCGGATGCAAGAAGCCTATCGTACTTCTGCCCAAGTCCAAGATCCTGAGATTGGGCAGGTTCCTGAAGGCTTCTTGGTCAACGGTGAAGGAGGTAAACTGAGTCCCAAGCTCCAGCAGCTCCAGCCGCTCCAGGAAGGGGAAGGACTCGGCTGTGACGGTCTGGATATAGTTGAAGCTTAGCAGGAGGCGCTGAGTGGTGCTGGGGACCTGGGGGACCCGGGTGAGGTTACAGAAACGATACAAGGCGATGCGGCCGTCCGAGGAGCAGGGAGACATTCCAAGTGCAGGGCTGGCCAGGAGCACCACTCCCAAGAGAAGGTCAAGGTGGCTTCCCATGATCCTATGGAGAGGAAGGGAGAATGGAAACACAGCTCTCTAAGCTCGAGGCATTGCACACGGGTCTTTAGAACTTGAGCCCTAATGTCATGCGCCTGCTGCTCTTAGACCCTTTGACCCTCTGGCTCCCTGGACACGGCGGTTGATGGTATTTGCAGGTGCGTATAGCACTGTTCTCGCCGTCTGTCTATCCCTCGTATTGCGTTTCCTACACCTCGCGGCGGCTTCCCTGCTTTGAGGTCATGGACCCCCGCGGGCGGCTGATGACGGCTCCGATTCCTCGCCTTCCAAAAAGGCACCTTCGCATCACCGATCAAGTTTTGTACCCAGTGCCAGGGGGTTCACTGACCTCCTGAAGCCGGCCCCTTCCAACCTCATGTCCATGAACGCTTCGCTGACACAGAACCACCGCCGTGTTTTACACTCTGCAACAGGGCTTGGGAAACGCTTCCTTTAGGCCTTGCAGTCCACGTGCCATCCTTTGCTGGCCTCCGTTCTAGAAGGGAAGAGAACAGACACGTTGATTTCCCAAGGGAGGGTTTTAAGCGACTGTCGGATACACATGTTCTGATACTATTTGCGGGAAAGAAACTAAGTTGGCCCCCAAGTCGCTGGCAGTTTTGCAGCCACTGTTTGAAACCCAAGCGTCAGAATGGATCCTCATCTCGGGTAACCAGCCAGGAAAATCCCTACAGACCCCCGGGAGCGAGCACGCCGGCTGAGAATAACATAACGCGTTCTGGTTTCACTCCTACCTTATTTACAGATGGCTCCGCGCTGGCCCCCAAGTGCAGACGCTCAACTCGGTGGCTTGACCTTGAATTTGTGGTAACAAGAGATGAGAGAGAGCCCTATCCGCTGAGCCAAACCGGCCAGGGCCCCAAACCATGTATTTAAACGACGACGATGAAGCAGCATGAACAATTACCGATGCTGTTAGTTCTGCCATCAGGTGACATACGGATTCCTTCCTAAACTATCACCATGCGATGCGAACTTACAATAAGTCCCCAGGCTCCCGGGGGGTAAGGAGCTAGAGACCACACTCAAAAAGGTCACCAGTGGCCCATAAAGGAAGCTGATGACAGCGGCAGCACCTCTTATACATGTCCCATGGTTAAGAGCACATAAACAATCGCCAATAAATCAACAACAGCAAGTACAGGCGAGGATGCAGAGAAAAAGGAACCCTCATGCACTGCTGGTGGGAATGCAGACTGGTGCAGCCACTGTGGAGAACAGTATGGAGTTTCCTCAAAAAGTTAAAAATGGAACTCCCATTCGACCCAGTAATCGGACTTCTAGGAATATATCCCAAGAAACTAGAAACACCAATCAGAAAGGATATGTGCACCCCTATGTTCATAGCAGCACAATTCACCATAGCTAAGATCTGGAAACAGCCTAAGTGCCCATCAGCAGATGAGTGGATTAGAAAACTGGCACATCTACACAATGGAATACTACGCTGCTGTAAAAAAAAAAAAAAAAAAAAGGAACTTTTACCATTTGCAACAGCATGGATGGGCCTGGAGAGCATTATGCTAAGGGAAATAAGTCAGTTGGAGAAAGATAAATATCACATGATCTCATTTGTGGTATATAATGATCAACATAAACTGATCAACAAAAACAGATCCAGAGATCCAGAGACAGAGAAACACCAAATGGACTGTCAAACCTCAGAGGGAAGGAGGGCGGGGGGGGGAGGGGGGGAGGGAGAAGGTGTAAGAGATCAACCAAAGGACTTGTATACATGCATATTAGCATAACCAATGGACACAGACACTGGGGCGGTGGGGGCTTGTCCTGGGGGTGGGAGTGGCCGGGGAGGGGTTGATGGGGGGAAAAGGAGACTCATGTACTACTTTACACCAGCGGTCGCCAACCAGTGGTCCGTGGACAACTGGTGGTCTGTGAGGTCTGAAAGGTTGGCGACCGCTGCTTTAAACAACAATAATTTTTAAAAAGTACATAAACACTGCAGAAAACATCCCTTTACCTTGAAAATCCCTGCAGGCTGCTGCGGAAGTGGGCATTAGGGGTCTACGGCACAGAGTGGAGGGAGGAGGTGTTGGTATCAGACAGAAAGGAGTACTTAACGCCACTAAACTGTACACGTAAAATGGTGCCTTTTACCCAGGCCGGCGTGGCTCAGTGACTGAACGTCGACCTATGAACCAGGAGGACACAGTTCGATTCCCAGTCGGGGCACATCCTGGGCTGCGGGCTTGATCCCAAATGTGGGTTGTGCAGGAGGCAGCCGATCCATGATTCTCTCTCATCATGGATGTTTGTCTTTCTCTCCCTCTCCCTTCCTCTCTGAAATCACTAAAAATATATAGAGCAGCCATCAATGCAGCCTCCATAGTCCTGCCCACGCTGCCCATCAAGATAACGAGACCAGGGGGAGAGGGGTCAGCATCGCTTTCATCGGAGCTGCATTCATTTAGCGCTAATCCCAGCCATGAGCAGAGCCGTTCCCTTTCCGGACTTAACTGCCTGGACAGCATCGCCACGCGTGGAGCTTGGGTGAGTTATGGGCCGCGGTGTCTCCACAGGAACCGGGCACCTCTGCTGTTGGGCACCACGGTGAGCCTGCCAGCCCCTCTGGCCGGGGCCAGGGCTGCTCCTGTGCTAATTCAACACTTTTGATCCTTAACAAAGAATACCAGCCCTGGCTCCCCGGGAGGACTGGCCTTGGCAGCTGCGCCTCGAGGCTGTAGAGGGACCGCTGTTCCTGGGAGGTGGTGGCCAACGTCCGGCCAACCCGCCTTCCTGGCTGTGCCCACAGCCTTGCCCTGGGCGCCAGGAAGAGCTGGCTTTCCCGGAACCTGACCTCCGTCCCAAGTCTCTGCGCAGGCTGGTCCCTGGGCTCCAGCATTTCTATCCATCTCATCGGCTCTCCGATGCCAACTGACCTTCCCTGGGGCCAGCTCCGCCATGGAACAGTTCTCATGCCCACAGCACACCTGGTCTCCCTCCCTTGATATTCTGTTTACAGCCCCAGGTTAGCATTTTCACTATATGAGGACTCACCCCCTGCCCCAGACGGTAAATTTCTTGAGGACAAGGACCCTGAAGGTCGCACAACTTAAGCACCCGACTCCTATTTTTCCCATTAATCGTTTCTGTTATCATTCTACTTATCTTTAAATTTTATTGATTTCAGAGAGGAACAGAGAGGGGGAGAGAGATAGAAACATCCATGATGAGAGAATCATGGATCAGCTGCCTCTTGCACACCCCACACTGGGGATCGAGCCTGCAACCCGGGCCTGTGCCCTGACTGGGAATTGAACCGTGACCTCCTCGTTCATTGGTTGACGTTCAACCACTGAGCCATGCCAGCTGGGCGTTTAAGTTTTATTTTTAGCCGTAACCAGTTTGGCTCAGTGGATAGAGCGTCGGCCTGCGGACTGAAAGGTCCCAGGTTCGATTCCGGTCAAGGGCATGTACCTTGGTTGTGGACACATCCCCAGTGGGGGGGGGTGCAGGAGGCAGCTGATCGATGTTTCTCATTGATGTTTCTAACTATCTCTCTCTCCCTTCCTCTCTGTAAAATCAAAAAAAATTTTTTTTAATATATCATTTTTAACTATAGGTGACACATCTTAGTTTCAGGTGTACAACACAGTGACTCAACATTTACCTACCTGACCACCTGATCACCACAATCACATAATCAGCCTCGTAGCCATCTGTCACTGTATTGACTATATTCTCTATGCTGCACTTGACATCCCCGTGACCTGTTTTATAACGGGAAGTTGTGCTTCTCTCCCCACTAATGCTTTGAATTAGATGTATTTTCTTCAGGGGTACTTACCTCCCAGTCCTGACACCAGGCGCTGCGGATAGGGTCTCCTCCATCCTCGGTCCCTGGTGGCTTAAGGACTCCCGATCCTGAGACGGTAGCAACGCCGTACAGTGGCGATGGTGGCCAGTGTTTTTCCGGGAACTGGGCCTTTTGATTGCCTAGGGAGAAACAGGAAATCCAATTAAGAGGATGAAACAGAAAACAAGACGTAGGTGTTTTCCTATGCCACACAGTTTTCTTTGCAGAAGAATTCAAAACCTTCGGTGTGTCTCTTACGGAGCAGAACTTTAAGGGGCAAAGATCAAGGCCATTTTGCCAAGCGGGGCAGGTGGCACCTCGGAGCTGAAGGGACCCCAGACCCAGCTCTGCCTCAGAAGGCGGGCATCTAAGCCAGCGGGTCTGAGGGGCAGCTCTCTCCCCCGTGGCCCCAGCGAGGGAGGCCCTACATGTTGGCAATGCAACCCATTTGTCACACCACCATGGTGGTGAGGAAGTGTCTCCTTGGCCCTAGACGTCCGGTTCGAGACCACCTCTGTGGACATGTGGTTTCTGGGAATGCAAACACAAGGGCGAGGGTGATCCATGGTCTCCGGTGAGCAGGGAACGTGCAGATTTCTGGGGAAAACCAGCTAAGATCGCCATCAGACGGGGACATTCGCTAAGCCAGCGGTTCTCAACCTGTGGGTCGCGACCCCTCTGGCGGTCGAATGACCCTTTCACAGGGCTCACCTAAGACCCTCCTGCATATCAGACATTTACATGACGATTCATCACAGGAGCAACATGACAGTGATGAAGTAGCCACGAAAATAATGTTATGGTTGGGTCACAGCATGAGAAACTGTATTTAAAGGGCCAGAAGGTTGAGAACTGCTGCTCTAAGCGGTACGGCCGGGTAAATTATGGCTGGGTTAGGAGTCCCTGGGTAATTATGAGGTCTCGGATTTAGGGCCAGAAGGATCCTGAAAGATGAACAGACGTCTAGTGTTTTCATTATTTTACAGAAAATTCCACTGGTGCTCAGAGAGGCCAAGCATTTGCGTAGGGCCACGCACCTATTAAACCAGCACTGGCATCCACCTGCACACTCAGTTGTCACCTTCGATCTTTCAGAGAAATCGAATCTACCGTGAGCCAGATCCAGAGCCTCAGAGGTGCTCTGCGTCCGACGTACCTGGAGAGAGCGCTGAATTGTGCATCTCGAACGAGCCTCCAGGTGGTACTGAGGCCGCTGTCTCCCTGACCACACTTTGATGGTAGGGACTTAGGGACTGTTCTTGGCAGGCCCTGCTCACTACTCGGGGTGCCCCATTCTCCTGGGGTGCAGCACGCCCAAGCTGCGCAACGATCGCTTCTGAGAAGTGGGCCTTTACCAAGACAGTCACCCCCAATTCAGCGCTTGGGTGCGATTTCTCTCATTCCAGGACAGGCGCTTCTCCTGAAGACCAGCAGGGGGCGTACCAAAGGCGGGGAGGAGCCCGCAGGAAGAGTCTGAGCTTCGGGGAATGGAGGTCAAGAGCTGCTCTCAGCCCTTGCTGGTTTGGCTCAGTGGATAGAGCATCAGCTTGCGGACTGAAGGTTCCCCTGTTCGATTCTGGTCAAGGGCACATGCCTGGGTATCTGGGCTTGATCCCCCAGTGTGGGGTGTGCAGGAGGTAGCCAATCAATGATTCTCTCTTATCATATATATATCTTTTTAAATATATTTTTATTGATTTCAGAGAGGAAGGGAGAAGAAGAGAGAGAGAGAGAGAAACATTAATAATGAGAGAATCATTGATTGGCTGCCTCCTGCACACCCCCTACTGGGGATCAAGCCCGAAACCCGGGCATGTGCCCTTGACCGGAATCAAACCTGGGACCCTTCAGTCGGCAGGCTGACACTCTATCCACTGAGCCAAACCAGCTAGGGCGATGTTTCTATCTCTTTCTCCCTCTCCCTTCCTCTCTGAAATTAATAAAAATACATATATTTTTTAAAAGCTGCTCTAAGCGGAAGTTGGCCTTGCTTGCTGCCCTGTGGCATGCACCCGGCAGGCCGCCCACTCCTCAGGAGCCCGGGAGAGAGCATCACCCCTGAATTTCAAACCAGGGCATCCTTGTCTCTTCCTGGGCACGCGCCTTAGGATGTAGCCACCCCCGCCCCGTGCACCCTCGGGCTCTGTCTGTTGCACAATTTTGATATTTTTAAAGAATCAAAATGACAACTGAGTTTGTAGCTGGCTTCAGACTCCAGCTCCACAAGGTAACAGACGCGTGACCTTGAGCGTGTGCGTGCCCTCTGCCAGCACCGTCTACTCACCTGAACAACTGTAACTGTTCTTACTGCCCCCAGGAAGCATCACCGGGGGCATCTGAGGACACTCGGTGCTCAAGCCAGACACTCGGTCACTGATACATAAGCCTCCGTTACGTCTCGCTCGCTTAACGCATTGCGGACCAGTAGTTCTAGTGCCAGCTTTACCCAGGGGCAGGTAAGTTTCTATGGAACAAGGACAAAAACGTTTTACATAAATGCTAAAGGCACGCTTTAAAATTAAATACCCATGGCACTTTGAAGTTAGTTACCACATGTTCTTACAAGCTAATAGCTTTTTAAAGAATTCTCATGATGGGCCACAAGCCTTAGAACAAAAAACACGAGAATTCTCATGATCCGTCCATGTGTTAAGTAGACAGCCATATAGGCCAGTGGTCAGCAAACTCATTAGTCAACAGAGCCAAATACCAACAGTACAACGATTGAAATTTCTTTTGAGAGCCAAATTTTTTAAACGGAAACTATATAGGTAGGTACATTGTTATTAACTTAATTAGGGTACTCCTAAGGCTTAGGAAGAGCCCCACTCCAGGGGCCAAAGAGCCGCATGTGGCTCGCAAGCCGCAGTTTGCCGACCACGGATCTAGGCAATGGCACCTCACCCAGAACGTCTACCTTTTAGAAACCACTGAAGGGGAACCTCAAGGGACGGACATGGAATTGCTCGGCACACGGCGGGCAGCTGGTGCTCCTCTGGTCGGCACCCCTGGGAAATTCTGTGCAAGCAACCCTGATGGTCTCCAGTACCTGCAGGAGGGTGTCCCCAGAACCACAAGCACCAAGAACAGCAGCCAGAGACATTGATGGTCTCAAGACAGGACGCTGAAAACCCAAATGAACGCTTCGTGAGCACGCGGTTTCAAAGCACCTGATGCAAAGAAAGAACTCCATCCGGGCGAGGATTGAAAACACACCGCTAGCACGCCACATTTAAAATCCCGGGGCCCGGGGGCGTGGCTCAGTGGTTGAGCCTCGACCTACGAACAAGGAGGTCACAGTTCGATTGCCGGTCAGGGCACATGCCCAGGTTGCGGGCTTGATCCCCAATGGGGGGTGTGCAGGAGGCAGCCCATCAATGATTCTCTCTCATCATTGATGTTTCTAACTCTCTCCCCCTCTCTGTTCCTCTCTGAAATCAATAAAAATGTATTTGAAACAAATATATTTTTTAAAGTCCTTGGTGAAAAATAGCTCACCAAGGAATTGTACATCTCGACCTGTCTTTGGGTTCAGGCACCAATATTCACAATTAGAGAATTAACACCTCTTGCTCTGCTAGCCTTCCCGAATGGAACTCGGTGAACACTGGCATGTGGACGGGCAAAGCAAATTGCCAGGAAAGATGGGCAGCTGCAGGGTTGGAGAAGAGCAGCCAGGAGCTGGGGGTCCCAGATTGCATCCCTGAAAGTAACGACAGGGACAGTCTGCTAAGAGCAGCAGGAATCATTTGGATTGTGACGTGGAGACAGTTGGGTGGGTGGAGGGACTGGGAAGAAAAACCTTATTAAACTGTGATCTGTCATACAGAGAGGATGGAAAGGGGAGAAGAGATTAGCAAACACTTGAGAACCTTCCTGGCAGGGATCTGGAGCCTGAAGGCACCAAGAGGAACCTGGGTGGGGAGGGGGAGGGTATAAAATCAAGCCTGCTCTGCAGCTGTGGAGACACGGGCTGGTGGGGGCGAAGGAGGCAGAGAGGGCACAGGCCAGCAGGAATGGCCCAGGGTCTCCGTGCCTGCTGGGTGCAGAGGAGGAAAGATGATCCCATTGGCTGCGCCATGCGCAGGGCCAGGGAGGGCTGGGGCCCACACCCCTGCTGGAAGCACCAGTCCTGCCCTGTGCCCAGGTTCCGGGCCCCCAGGGAGGTGGCTGGAGCGTGGAATCTGCCCTGGGCAGGCTGCCCAGGTGGCTGAGCCCCATTCTGAGGGGGGTGGAGTCAGCCAGAGACTTGGCTCCAACTTCCTATGGGTGTCACTGCCAGGATGCCTGGGATCCTGGCAAACGCATTGGGTTGGGCCTGGCCGGCGTGGCTCAGTGGTTGAGCATCGACCTATGAACCAGGAGGTCAGGGTTCGATTCCCGGTCAGGGCACATGCCCGGGTTACAGGCTCGAACCCTAGTAGGGGACATGCAGGAGGCAGCCGATCAATGATTCTCTCTCAACATTGATGTTTCTCTCTCTCTCTCTCTCTCTCTCTCTCTCTCTCTCTCTCTCTCTCTCTCTCTCCCTCTCCCCCTCTCTCTCTCCCTTCCTCTCTGAAATCAATAAAAATATATTTTAAAAAAAGAAAAAGCACTGGGCTGGGAGGGGGAAACCTGGGCCCCAGCCCCCTCCGCCATCGTCTGGGCGCCCTGACAAGGCTGGTCCCTTGTCCTGTGTCTGCGTGTGTGCAATGGCGCGGGTGAGCCGGATGGACCCGTAAAGTCTAATGAGACTTGCTGAGCGTGTGACGGCAGTCAGACCCGGGCACACTCCTCCTGGGACAGTGGTTCTCAACCTCCTGGCCCTTTAAATACAGTTCCTCATGTTGGGACCCAACCATAACATTATTTTCGTTGCTACCTCATAGCTGTCATGTTGCTACTGTGATGAATCGTCATGAAAATATCTGATATGCAGGATGGTCTGAGGCGACCCCTGTGAAAGGGTCGTTCAATCGCCAAAGGGGTCGCGACCCACAGGTTGAGAACCGCTGTCCTAGGAGCACACTCGTCACCCTCCCTCTTGGCAAATGTGCAAGTCTGTCAGAGAAGATGGTGAAAATATCTAGTGGGAAGTCATACGATGAATGTACCAATAAAATGAATCAATAAAACGGATCCATCTATACCCGGGCCTTAGGAAGCACATCTACCTCTACGCCCACCTCCCCCCCACAAACTCCCCCAAGGATTTACTCTCAGAGGGGATTGCTTTGGGGGCAAATAATACTTTGTGGGTAGAAATCTCCCTCCCCCCTTTCCCTTCTCCCCATGCACTGCCCCTGGCCAGGTACGAGGCAGGACTACACCCAGAATGAGTTTGTGGGCTCTCCTGGCTTTGCCTTTCACAACTTGGCCTTAGATCAAGGACTCAGAGCTTTCCAGGAGGTGCAGGGAGGAAGGGAGGGGTGGAGGGACAGCCCAGAGGCTCCAAGAAACGGGAAGTGAAAGCAGGTCTATGGGTCCCAGGAGGACAGGACTTTGGCACGACCTCAGGGTTTGGCTGTGTGAGGAGGCAGGAGGGGCGGGGAGTGGGGCGAGGGTGTGCTGACTGGCAACGCGCAGACCAGCCTGGTGAGCAAGATCTACCCCCCCCCCCCCCTGCTCTGCCCCAGGTCCTGACAATGCGTAACACCCACAAGGGACACCAAAGGGTGGTACCGCAGTGGTTTCTAGTCCTGCCAGAGGCTTCAAACTAATGTTGATAGCAAGACAAGAAAGGGAGAGGTGGGATTTCTTGCACACCTGAGCTGGTTGGAGATGCATACGCTCTACCCTTTCATTTGGACGTTGGGTAACGTGTGGGCCTCAGTTGTGGTTCAGCTCCGGGCCCAGAGAAGCAACAAAACCAGTCCCGGCCGGCTGACATCAGGGGCAGCTGCAGGGAGTAGCGACCCCTGCCCTGGTGCCGGCCAATCAGAGGAGACCACAGCCCCGATGGACACACCTGGAAAGCCGCTGACTGTTCTATTAAGCGCTTTCCTGGGACCTCCCCTAAAATCTCTGCCCTTAAAACGCCAGGGCAGCCCTAGCTGGTGTGGCTCAGTGGATAGGGTGTTGGCCTGTGGACTGAAGGGTCCTGGGTTTGATTCCAGTCAAGGGCACATGCCTGGGTTGTGGGCTCAGTCCCCAGTGTGAAGCATGCAGCCGGTCAATGATTCTCTTTCATCATTAATGTTTCTATCTCCCTCTCCCTTCCTCTCTGAAATCAATATATATAATTAA